TGTGTGTGTGTGTGTGTGTGTGTGTGTGTGTGTGTGTGTGTGTGTGTGTCTATGTGTGTAGAACTGCGTGCTCCTGTGTGTGTGTGTTTGTGAGCACTTGCACGCAGTTCACACACACACACACACATACACTTGAGCGTGGGCGCACTCACCTTTTTGTTTTTCCTTTGCCCGCCACAACTTCTTCTGCCCCCTCCTCCTCTTCTTCGTCTTCCTCCTCCTCCTCTTCTTTTTCTGTGTTGTCTTGCCTGTCCTCCTCCTCCTCATCCTTCTCATCTTCCTCGGAGAACGTGCCACGTGGAACGTGTGGTTCTTTTCTCTTTTTGATGCACCATAACTCCCCTCTTCTCCTCCTCCTCATTTTCTTCTTCCTCACCCTCTTCCTCTTCCCCGTCCTCCTCCTCTTCTTCCTCTTCGTCCTCCTCCTCTTCTTCCGCGTCCTCCTCCCCCTCCTCGTCCTTCCCTGTCCTCCTCCTCCTCCCATCGACGTTGCTCCCCCCATTGTCACCGCTGGCCCTGACGCCACCGCCGCTGCCACTGGCCCCCATGCCACCGCCGCTGCCCCCAACGCCACCGCCACAGGCCCCATACGGTGGCCTATGCTGCTCCGCCACTCCAAGTGTTTTTTTTTTTTTTTTTTTTCTTGTTCCATTCATCAAATTCAATCAATCGATCAGTCAATCAATCAATCAATCAATCAGTCAATCAATACATCAATCCACACACACACACATATACTGTTCCTCCCCCAACACCCAAAACTGCGTGCTCCCCGGGTGGCTTCTGACATGCCCAACCCGGTGGGGGGCGCGCATTCAATTTTCTCCAACCGTATACCACGTGGTGCTACTGAACGTGTTTGAACGTGAATGTGCGTGGAACGCGTTCAAACGGCTACATAGAGTTGGGACAGTTAGCTCCTAGGACAAGTGGTGGGAACTTGGGTAGCTTAGTCGCTCCTATGTACTACGGAAGCACAAGGATGTGGAAAAGTGGCAACCCATATGGTCGGAACCAACAAGAAAAGTTGCACGTATTACATTTTTATGTGTTAATGAGGTAGTGAAAAGGCGTCCAAGGTGTGGTCATTTTAATCTGAATTGTACCCAATCATTGAGAAAATTTCTCGAAAGGGTGAATAAAGATGTGAACGAAGCTGAGACAATTTTAGGCGGTAGTTATGATGTTAAGGAGATGTTTTGTCGTCTTCCCCATTCCGCTATCATTTTTGCAGTAGAATGGGCGGCTAGTGTGTTTGAGGAGAAATGTTTTATCAAGTTCCTATATTGTGCTTGGAATAAAAGGGTTCGTGTGTGTAGGATAGGAGCTGGAGAATCCGACCACACGTCTGTTAAGTTCTCACTGCTTATTCGGCTTATCTTGTAAGATCTTCGCAACACATATACGATGGGAATGGGTTCTGTGGTCAGGCAAAAATTGGGAATATCGATGGAGAAAGCATCCAGTCCAGTGCTCGCATTCCTAATGTTTATCCACAATGAGGTTACCTTCTTGAAGGGCTTAGGTAATGATGCACGTTTGATCAAAGAATGCTGACGCGTGGATGATGTGTCACTTTTCATCAAGTATCAACAAGAAAATCAGGAGGAAGCTCTCAAAGCAGAAAGCATCTGAAGGCGATTTGACATAATTTGTTACGATGAACATTTAGTGCTTGACAGAACCAGTTGTTCCAATGAGTGGCCTTATCCGGGTTGCAAAATTCACGTTGGTATTGAACTGGCAAAAAATTATTGTTAAGCTTAACACAAAAATCAGGATATTCTGTTAGGAGGTGGTGGGATGGTTTTCAGAGTTTACAAGATAGTAATTCCTTTTACAGTCGTAAGCAAAAGTTCAATGTTATTCTCTCATTTCTGCATAAAGCATATAATATGGGCACTTTAGCTGGTACAGAGGTCTTGTTTCTTTACAGTCTTAAGGTTGAACTTAGGCGACGCGGTTTTCCAGCCCTCTATTTTGGTAAGGTTCTGACGAAGTTTAATGAGAAGGTTGGGAAAGCATGGTCCCAATGGGTCAATTATTTTACGGGTTCGATTGGCTGGTAGCAGGGTCTATAGTTCAGGTACCATTAAGGGTAAGTTTTGTGGTAGTATTGTCTATTAGGTTGACAATCTCTAAGTATAAATAGAACAATGCTTCGTATGTCTCAATCATTCCTAGGCGCAACCCCTGAGGAGGGACAGTACTTTGTCGGCCTGGTCGAAACAGTTCTCGGGTTATCGTCAGCGTTCTTCATGGTTATGGCGGAAACACCTATTTTTGTTTTTCGGGCTTATCAGAATATCATACGAGCTGATGCGCTCATTCTTTGCCTCTTTTGTCTTTCTTCCCTTCCCTACTTCCTCATGCTTACCTCACCTCACATGCCTCGAGTGTTATTCACTAAGGCTATTGTATGTTGCCTGGACTTTCTCTACTACTACTACAAACTGAACAACCGTTTTTTTTTCTTTTTTGAAAGAAGATCGGTCTTTAT